CCCCACCACGCGTTATCAAGTGATAGCGCAAGCTGTGAGAGCACATGAGGGCGCGTAACTAAAATTACGTGGCTGTGATGTACGCATATTTTAAACTTCTTTACAGCCATTTTATTTTTCCAGAAAATTTTGCTAAATCCCTAACTTTTCCATGACTTTCCTGATCATTTTCAAATTCCCTGATTTTTCCATGACTTCCCTGACTTGTGACAACCCTGTATATACTTTATGGAAAACCGCGACTGTTGGACAGTTGGAGTCGCCGTCGAACCACTTGGCTCCATCTGGCGAACCACGTCCACGACTTCAGCAACGTCTCTTCAACAGGTTGAGCTTCCCTGGTTCATCGATAAACCACCGCGATGCTCTGTTTTTGCGTCTTATCATCGGGACCGTTCTTGCAATTCCGGCGTATCAAAACAGAACCCTATCCTTAAAAATTTTTCTTTCCAAATCTAATTTAATCAGCTGCAAAGATAAAGGTTTGGTACTCATAGTCGGTTCTTATTTTAAGACTTATCTTAAGTAAGGTCATAAGATGCTAATGCAGTTCTCTGATTGTTCATGACATCTTAAGACTATACTTAAGACAGTCTTAAACATAAGACTATCAGAACGTCAGCCATAGATCTGATTGTACTGTATAATCAACATAGGAGATAGCTGAACACGCAGGGTCTAAGGCTTTTCGATGTAAACCTCCATAATTAGGCAAACGCACGCAAAAGGCGCGTCCTCGTCGATATTAGTGATCTAATTGAGACTAAAAGGATTGACATACCGATTGCGATGGCAGTGGCGATGTTCGATTGTCATAAGATCTGTACGCGGTGGTCGTGTGGACGCGAGCACCATTCAGCGATCCATAACCGGGTGTCGCATTACCTCCGCCGACGTGATTTCCCTCCGACGACACAGTGTTCTGTAGGTCCGCCAGCAACGCATCTGGAAACACAATCGATAGATTAATTACACTCGCAATTTTAATCCACCTAAAAAAGTAACACGTGGTTCCTCACGTTATCTCATCATTTAGATTAGAATTGGAAATTTTTTTATGTGGATATTTCTAAACCGAAATGTTTGGTTTTTTATTTAAAGAGCCTCTATCTTTATTTCCTGTTTATTATTCCATAGTAAATTAATAATAATTGAAGAGTCAATTATGTAAATAATCTTTAATTATATCGCTGTAATGTATCTTTAAGCAGAGTATAATGAACAGGAAACAAAATATAGTTGTTCCTACTTCTATTTTCATCACATAATTTGTTCTTAATTGATGCAATATGTTAACTTTTTAAAAATAATAATTTGACAAGTATCTTTATGAGGCAGAAAATCATATTCTGTGGATTGATATCGCATCATTAGATCAATCGGCGTCACTTATTTAATTTCAAGCTACCATATGTAAAAAAGGAAAAATATTGCGACATTGTTTCATGATGACGCCATGCCCACCGCTTCGCTGTCGTCCTTGGCAAGCGCGTTTAATTTTTTTAATTTAAAATATCAGGAGACACATCATCTATCTGTTTACTAGCTAAACACTATAATACTGTGTAATTTATGCGAATACGTAATCCATGTGAACAACGAACAATAAATTTAATGTAAAAGCAAAATATAAACGCCAAACGTAAATTAAATTGCCGACAAAATTATAAATATAAAAATTCGTACAATAATATACATATAATATTGTACGATAAAATTATATAAAATTATATAAAATTATACGCGGTAAAATTATACATATTTTAATTATGGTTAATCACACGTTTAATATTGAATACACGGAGAAAAGTATGGGAGAGTTGATTGGTACCGTGGAAAAGCTGTAATAAGGTATAAACATTTTACTGTCGTAACAGCGTGAGAAGTTCATTACAATATTGTCGAGGAAGGCTACGTGAATCCCTATTGTTGCAAATTCACATTGACGATAAAAAATTAGTTTCTTGTCTGAACTCTCTCTTGTTTATAAGAGAATTTCTTAAAGACTAGAAACTTCAGTATTTCTTTCAGAAATTCGTTCGTCCTACTCGAATTAGTTCGTTGTTTGTTCCTTTAAACTTGTTATAGTTAAGTTTGTTCCTTATAAGCTTAACCCTTAAGTACACACGATGATTTTCCAACCCTTTATTACACACAATAGGTTGTTTGTTTTGTCTAAGTAAATTTTCACTTTAACAAATATACAAAAATTATTAAGTGATTCTTACATATGTATACTTTGTAAAATATCTGTAAGAGGTTGAATATTTAAAAAAAATTGTATATAAATGTTATAATTAACAGAGTTATCACAGAAATTGAATTTTAAAATTCCCTGACTTTTTCAGGTTTTCCAGATGAAAATAGAAAATTTTCCATGGCTAATATAAAATATGTAAATATTAACATTTAGACTCAAAGATTGTAGGAAAGCTAGTAAAACAACGCAAAAAAGCTTACTAGCATAGTAAAATTTTGGGTGCAAATTCAAGTCAACCAAAAATAATTTAAATTTGGAAAAAAGAATGCAATTATAACGAAAAAGAGCGATCAAATAAAAATACTGAATAAAATATAAATTTTAATTATTTTATTAAAATCATTTAAAACGCGCGAGTTTTGAATATATTTGACTATAAAAAAACGTCAGATATAATATTTAAAAAATTATAATAATTATTTGGAATAGAAAAACAGTTTAAGGAAATTGTGAGCAAATTTTAAAGTTCTAGACTTTTTTACATTTTCCCCTGACTTTTCCCGGTTTTCCAGGTCTGTGGCAACCCTGATTAATTACTTGATGCTTCCAGTTTTTCGAAAAAAAAAGAAATATGCAGGACACAAAATCGTGACCCAATCGTATGTAAGGATTAATTATTAGAGAAATGTGCCTTTACCGAGAGTAACGAGGTTACTAGTCGCTCTCTCATGATTGTACACCTGGTACATGTTCTCTTCTTCGGGCACGTGCGTCGTCTCCATTGCGAGAGAGGTCCGACACACCCACTATTTCAGGAACGTTGAACCCCGCGAGCGGTGGACGCGAGTTTCAGGCCGACTTTGGCGAGTCCGTCGTAAAAATGCGGAGAAAGCGCGTGAAACCGAGGGGACAAATCCGTGAGCGAAAAAATCACGAAACTGAGGATCCCGACACTTTTCGCAAGCAAAACGTCAGCGGTTTTGCTTCCTGCGTACATGCAAATAATAATATAAAAAAAAGTCAAAGACGTAAGAGATAAAAAATAATCATTAAAAATATGAAAAACTCCCGGAGGACTCGACAAAATAGTTTTAAAAAAAATTTGAGTTAAGAAAGAATGCATACTGAGTGAATGCATACTAATTCTGAGACGTTATACCGAGAAATACAGCGGCGAATTAGTTCACCGAAGCGAAATATGAGAAAAGTGACGCGAACTGAGACATCGTGACGCTCTATCGCGTTAAAGACTGGCTGATAAGAAAAGTATATGTTTATCGAGCGTTTTAATCTGCAAATTTATCGCAAATTGTAACGTATCGCTACCAATTGTGTACATATCCTGAGATTATTATTGTCGTTTTTGTCATTATCTCATTATCTACACGGAAAAAAACAATTTTACTAAAATATCAAAAAATTTAGGTAGATATAGATCTAAAAATAATTTTGTTAAATTATGTAGAAAACTTAAGCATGATAAGCAATGATATGCAAAAAGTTTTGACATTCTAACAATTAACCTGAGTATCCTACATAATTATTTTAATAGTCCAACAAAATTATTTTTAGATCTGTATCTATATTCTTAAATACTTCAACAAAACCGTTCTTTCCATGTACATAAAGAAAAATATTCTGCTAAATCATTCTGTTAATATCATTATTTCGCTAAAAAAAAGTGATTACTCAATTTATTTTCTTCCTTTTAACGATCAGTTTTAACAAAGAATAAAATATACTTATTACAAATTTTACAAAAATTCATTATTATATGTACTCAAAACAAGAATTTATTTTCTTTTGAAGAAAATTATAAAATTGATCGAAATAGCAATTAATTTTATATAACAAGCAAATCGAATCTGTTTTAACTTAATAATCTTAATTAAAGTATTTAAACTCACTAGGATTTAGAATATATTTTGAACAAATTTGATGCTTGTAATGAACTTATGATAGATTTGTGGATACATGAACTTTTGAAATACTTGCAACAAGTAATTATTACTTGCGTACAGTATGTATTTTTCTGTGTGTTCGCTTCAAAATGAGAAACGAGTTGTACAAGACAAGTACGAGAAACGTCAGTTAATTGAGTGTCGATACCAAGATGAAACTGTAATTCTCGCACAAAAAATTCTCGAGGATGAAGTCGAAGTGCGAGTGCTTTATATCGTCATTCACACGACTCTTTTCGCCTTCACCTCGAGCAACTCAACTCGCTCGCCTCCGTTCGCGAGAGGTTCCAAAGGGTTCCACTCCGATTTTTTCACGCGCTCCTGAGTGACAACACGTGTTTAAAGTGGATGCACACGTGCGAACGACGCGGTGCACACGGGAACGTCGGCGGGACTGATTGTGATTGAAGTGCGCAGGAAGGCGATACCGCGCGCTGGAGGAAGGAGCGAAGCTGGAGAGGAGGAAGGACATTAAGCAGGCATTAAGACGATCGGTAGTGGGGCATTCCCGTACGTTGGACGGAAGCTGCGGTATTCAGAAGAAACGGACGCCTAAGCGGCTGGTTGCTTCGCGACATATCACCCCTCCTGATTACGGGGAACCTGATTGCACCGCGTACAAACAGGCCGTAACTTCGAGGAAACATTCAGCTGTTCAGGGAGTTCTAGGAGAGCAGAAATACAGGGTGTCCTATTTCGTCTTCTTAGAGCAATTTAGAAACTTGACTTTGCAGAGTTCAACTTAAATATTCATCTCTCAAATGTATTTAAATAAAATTCCTCAATTTTTGGATAGCGAAAATTTAATTTTTAAATTTCTGAATTTTAGAGCAAAGATGAAAGAATTTTGGGGAGCCTCAGCGATCCAGGTTTGATTATTTAGAAACGAATTTAAATATACAGTACGATCTTCTGCTTTTTCTCTACAAGTTTTTACCTCAATTTTTTAACTATTTTAAAGCTTTGTTTAATTTAACTTTGCTTTGTCAATTTTTTATTTCTTAATTACTTAGTAATAGTTAATGAATATTACAAGTTTAAAATGCTTTGAGAAAATACAAAGACGAATGAGTCTTTGCGAGTAGTTAAAGTGGACCGGTCTCTTAAAGCACTTTAGTGTGCTATAAAACGAACAATCATGCAGTATTCTATTGACGTAAATACAACGTAGATGGCAAGAGAAGGCTAAACGTCCCAAGCTTTGACATAAAATATTACGATAAAATTATAGTTTCACGATTAAACGCATGTATTAAATCAATCGATCATTTTAGAAACACCATAAGCCAATATTTTCAAAATCAGTTTTTTTAAATAAGTTTTAAGAGTGACACGTGTTCCACTCAATGTATAAGATAATGAGACATCTTTCATACATTTCTAATTATTTTTAGTATATACAATACTACAGTTGTAAAAATTAGAACGTTCTTTTCCATTCCCCAAAAATTAGACTTTTATGAGATTTCTGAAATGACCGATTTTCATTATTAATATCATTATTAAAAATATAACATCAAAATAAATATTTTATAGTAAAACGAGTTATTGCCACATATAAGTGTCACATCAAATTCAAAGACATGGTGTTCAGTAAAATCTGGCTAGTTAATTCAAGGATAATTCCAGGACATTCCAGGTAAAAATCCTGATTTTTCCAGGATTTATCCATCGATTATTTTCATCATATAATTTTCATCGATTCGTGCAATATTATACGCTTTGTATTCAAGTTAGGATTCTATACAAATGAATTAAAACACTAACAAATTGGGAACAATATT